TTCAGCCAAAAAACTCTGAATTGTTGGAAAGAGTCAAACAGACTGGCTAGGCAAACAAGGTTTTCTCTTGTGAGACAATGTAAATAAAATTAGAGAATAGTGATAGATCTTTCAAAGGCGATAAATGAAATCTGTGAGTAGTGGAATTTTAAATTATTTTTGCAGTTAATATTGTACACCTCTTGACAGTAGAGTGACACTGGAGGGGCAGAGAGGGCGTTGAAATCAAAAATATATTCTACTCATTACTTCTTTAAAATTTGATATTACAGATATAATTTCATAGAAGATGCTTGAGCTGAATCTACAACTGCCAGCATAAAAAAACAAAGGTACATTTTCTTTTGTACTAAATATAACCCCAACCCTGCAACAATTTGCTTACTGTGTTAAACTCTAAACACAAATTGAAACAACTGGATGCTTAATGCTTTCCGAGGTCCAACTGTAAAATGAGTGTGGAGGGTAGTGGGGAGGAGAGGCTTGGACCCAAAATAAACAGCAAAAAATAACCAGAAAACCATTGAAAATTAAATACACATTTTGAGTCATTTCTCTTTCAAAAGATTTTATTGAAGGAACAATGAAAGGAGTGTGTGAAGCCTAACTATGTATTGTGTTGTTTTTCCAGGCTTCATCAGCAGTTTCTTGATGTTTGGAAAGCTCTGAGACCCACCCTGTTGGACTACTTGTAACCAGCACCTAAGACTACAAAACCGTATGTGCGGAAGAACCATTCCGTGAAGGAAGCATCCATCCCAATACTGTGGAAACTCCGTGCAAGCCTTGCAAGGCAGGAGAGCGATTTGTGCTTCCATTGACGTTCGTGTGCAATCTCTGCTTCTTATGCACTCCAGCACCCCTATCAGTTCCTTGTTCTCCTTCACCAGCCCTGCAGTGAAAAGGCTGCTGGGCTGGAAACAAGGAGATGAAGAGGAAAAGTGGGCAGAAAAAGCTGTTGATTCCTTGGTGAAGAAGTTAAAGAAGAAGAAAGGTGCCATGGAGGAACTGGAAAGGGCTCTGAGCTGCCCGGGTCAGCCCAGTAAATGTGTCACGATCCCACGTTCCTTGGATGGGCGGCTGCAGGTGTCTCACCGCAAGGGGCTTCCCCACGTCATATACTGCAGAGTGTGGCGCTGGCCTGATTTGCAATCTCACCATGAGTTGAAACCACTGGAATGTTGTGAATTCCCATTTGGCTCAAAACAGAAAGAAGTGTGTATTAACCCTTACCATTACCGGCGGGTGGAAACCCCAGGTAATTATATAATCTGCAAATGATTCATGTCTCTCTGTTAGCTCTTGCGCTGGCAGGTCTAGTCTTGGTGCATCCTACTGAGTTGTGCTCTGAATTCTGAAAAGGCAGGTTCCATTTGATGGAAGGACCCTGGGTCTTTCCTGGCCCGGTGGCAACACATCTCTGGTGTAAGGAGCACCTCGCCCGTGGGGTCTGCGCCCCATCGGACCCCCAGGGGCACCCGGATCTTGTCCAGGGTGCTGAAAGGAGCTTCATCTCTGTGGACATGGGTGCTGGCCACCCTCTGAACCCTCCCCCTGCAACCTGGTGTCCATTTGCATGAAGTTTAGGCACCAGCCTGGGCTTACCACCCTGGCTAGATTTATACCTCATTGTCTGAAAACCATCGATCAACTCATTAATCCCCTAGCTTTCTCTTTAAAGATAAGAGTTGCAGTAAGGTGGCTTATTTTGCTGTGGATATGAAACCGGGTCAGTTGATTCTTCCTAAAATGCCTGTTGGCCCGCCTTCGGTGGGATTTGCTTACTGAATGGATAGTTTATGTGAAATAAATCCTCCAAGTTCCCATAAAACTGAATTTTTCCACTGATGATCCTCTTTAGACTGGACTTGGTCAGCACTGAAAACTTACGAACTCACTGAAACGTCGCTTGATTAGGCTTTATGTCAATGAAAAATCTGTTAAAAAAGTATAGTGTTCAGGATTGACTTCTATAGGGATCTTAGAAAGCAGGGCTGGCAGAGACCTTGAGCAGTCATCCTGTTCTCCTCTGCCCCTACTCCCAAAACAAAACAAATTACCAGGTACATTCTTGACAAATGTTTTTCTAATGAGCTCTAAAAATCCCATGTGATAGAGGCTCCACAACCTCCCCAGGCAAATGAATCTATTGCTTTGCCATCCTTGTAGTCAAAATGATTTCTAATGTCTAACCTAGCTCTCCCTTGCTGCCAAAAATCACAGTAATTTAATTTACTAATGGATACAGTTGGTAAGTGTATACTTATTATTCTGTGATTACTCTTTGTCTGGCATGAACTTTACTCTGAGGTGACATTAGGATCAGATAAGTGAACTGTGGGATGTTTCTTTTCACACAGATGAAATAGGGGAAAAGCGTTTGTTAACATTTGTTAAACAAGAGGGGCTGCTCCCTTTTCTGATAGTCCTTGCAGTGCAGTGGAGCTGTCATTTTGAAGTTGTGTCTGAACTGCTGTAAACATTGTCACAACTAAAATTTTACAGCTGCAGTGAGTGGTGCTTGTTGTCAACAGTTCTCAGTGGAAAGAGCTGATCTCCTGCCTTGCTAAAATAAACTCTTCAAGAATGTAAGAAAAGATGTTCATAAAACATCTCATTTTGTGTATCTTTCTCTTTGAAGGCTGCACTCTTTAGTGTCTTCCCATATCTTCTGGTGTAACTCCAGTGTAGTTAATGGATTCTCCTCAGCGCGGTAGCTGGCAGCACTGCACAGTGCTTTCTTCAGTCCCGGTCTTCTGATCTGTTCAGTGCCAACTAACAAACACTAGTACTGGGATGATCCAGCATCTGCTAAATGGCTGCCAAAGCTGCTTGTTCTGATCCTGAAAATCAGAAGGTTTCAGCTGTGAACATGTCTCTATCATTTGTTGTTTGTCTGTGCAGCAGCTACATCTCTACTAGTAAATGAGATGGGGCCAAGGTGCAGGTCTGAGTATTGCTGAATTGGTAGCGTGCTCCCGGGCACAGCTTTGACCCGTGCGGACTCGCATGGACTAGCAGTTCTCAGGGTGCAGGGGTTAGCCCACAGGAGGGACTTGGGGCATGTTGGACGTGACCACCTTGTTTTGGAGATGAAAAAGCACAGCTGTGAGGATGCAAGCTGTGTCGTGCCAGTTCCCCGTAGGACCAGGGAATTGTTCTCGGGCTGTTGTGTTCACCCCTCCTGCTCTTCTTACAGGGACAGCTTAGAAGCTGAATCTCACAAGTGAGTCACCTCCCTGCTAAAGATGAGGTGCAGCAAGGAGTACAACCTACTCAGGTGTGCTGGGGCGGTGGCAGGAGGGATAACTTACACCACTGCAAGTGGCAGTAATGCAGCTCCAAGTGAGGCAAGAGAAGAAATGAGCTTCAGGAGAAAGTGCTAGCAGTGAGATCACTACAGAAAAGGCTGGGATCGATTGATCTAGGTGCCAGTCTGTTTAAACAACAGTCCTCTCTTAACTACAGGAAATCTTCTGCATCTTGCCTTTTGGTTATCTTAGGCTTATGTGAGTGAGACTCTCTGAGTCTCATCCTCTGTAGCTAAAGAATCCACCAATGAAATTAGTCAGCAGTGCATTTTTTTATAATCCCCAAGCAAGTATTATTTTCTTACAAATGTCCATCCTTTTGGGGCTCACCTTCCATCACTGCAGTCTATTTTGCTGAGTCAACCACTCTGGGACCAGATAGGTTAACTTTTATTCAGAATGAATAAGTTGTGTCAAAGATGGGAGGTCCTCACCCTTTCTTTAATGATCTGTCAGATCCCTAGACTTACATTACTAGAGAGCAGCTTTAAGCTCTGCTCTGAGATTCAGGCGTTTCATTGCCTCTGCTGTGTCCTCAGGATGCCCAGCCACATCCTAGTCTGTGCTGACCAATGCTGCACAGATTATGCATAGCTTTTATTGCTGCTACCAGTGTCCCCAGCAGATATCTTCTCAGGTCTGCTGAGCAGCAGGTGCCATTAGAAAAAAGCAGCAAATATTTCCTCTACTTGTGCAACATCCCACTGCAGAGAGGGGCTAGGCCACCTAGCCTCAAGGAGGTAGGTGTGGTGGTTAGGCCCTGCTTCCTCCTTCATTATTTTGCCTCAAAAATCTGGTCAGAAATCTGAATAGTTTGTTACAGTCAGCAGAAGCTGCAGTTTCAGAAAAATATACAAGCTGCCAAAACATGTACCCTATTTTTTTATATGAGATCATTCATGTGTAGATATTGCAAATTCTAGTGTGCGCCATTGCTGTAGACAGCAGGAGCCTAAATGAACTTTTGACTTAGACTAACTGATTGCTTTTGTCAAGCCCACATGGGACTAAGATGTGGTAGCCTCCCAGCTAGAAGACCACCTGATGATCTCACTGTTGGCCGTGTGTTTGGTGTTTGCGAATGGTCATGGGCATAGGGAGCAGATGGATCTCACCAGAGGGTAGGTTTCCGAAGGTAGTAAACTCTGTAAAGATGGGCTGATGCATGAGAAATCGCAGTATGGATGTTGTACCTGGAATTAAACTGTGAGGCAAATAGTTTGCTTGCTGGCACCTGAAGTCACAGTCTGTGGGCACAGCCAGGTTTCCAGCAAGAATTGTTGCAGATAAAGGGAACAGGAGAAAGCCTAGTGCAGGAAAGGCAGTGGCAGGACCTGGGACATGACTGCATTTGCCCTCAGTTGAACAAAGATCATCAACACTTGGGTGTGCATAGAAGGAAGGATCCACCCCTGGATCTCGGTGAAGAATAGCAGGTAGAAGAAAAGGACCCCACTGAGTGGAGGCAATGCAGGTAAATTATGAGGACAGACAGGTCTCAATGCACTCAGTCACTCAGTTTCATGCCTCTGGTCACACTTCCTTCAGAGTGGCTGAGCCCTGGAGAGTGACATCTGTTACCAAAAGAACAAGGAGAACAAGGCCCTCTGGGGAATTTTTAGCCACAAACAAGAAAATCTCTGAATTCCTCACCACCACAGAGGCTTTAGCCCTCTAGGCAGCCACAGAGCAGTCAGTGGAAAGATTGAGTGAGGTGGCAAAAACTGTACAGCAGAGCAGAAATTAAAGAGTACCCTGGTCAGAGCTGGGAAGGAGTTCAAGGCTTGAAAATTCCTCTTGCTGACTCACTCAGGGCGAGTCAAAGGCTTTCCCTGGCAAGTGCTGCTCACACATCCAGATTCTCAGCTTTCATTTAGAGAAGGAGTTGTGTTGAGTTCTCACAGGGCTGAAGCAAGCTGCTTCCTTAGCGGTGGTACCTGCGGCGAGGTGCCAGCCTCCCAACGGTGCACAGCATTGCTGTAGCACAACTGTCCCTTGCTCAGCACCTCTGCTGCATGCAAAAGGATCACCAGTTCCCCATTTTCTAAGGCTGCTGGTCAGAGTTGACTGAGCAGCAGCAGACCTGGCAAGCATCATACCAGTTTCATGGAGCAGCAGAGGAAAACTCCAGAAGCAGCAGCAGCTCAAAGCCTGAAGCTGCTGTGAAGCCTGATGGTGCTCACAACCTGAAGCTGGGAGGGATCCAGCTCATGAAAACCACATCTGCAGTGGTGGTACTGGTCTTGTCACAATATAGAGCAGATGAACTGAGCAGTAAAAGAGTCTGTTTCTCTCCACTTGCTATGAAGAGATCCATGGGGGACGGGGAAATGCATCTTAGTTGTGAATATCTGTATTGCCTGTGTGAGTCCTACCTGGAGAGTCTAGGAAATCCAAAAAGCTAAAGAAGCGGTAAAGAAGCAGAAATACCTTTCTCTACCAAAGGATTTAAGAGGGTGGCAACAAAATCTTCATCCCACAGGTAGGGGCATATCAGAGGCAGAAGCAAAGAAAGCAGCCTCCAGAGCACCATCCCTGTGCTGGCCAGAAGCTGATTAGAAATGCGTTGGGCCAGAGAAGGGTCTACATATAGTTTCTTAACAGGTATCCCACTGCCTGTGTTTCCATGCAGGTAAGAAGATAACTTCTGCAGTGAGCCCCCTGTCATCAGTCCGATCTTTTGTATGATTTTATAGGGCTCAGTTCTTCAGTTCATGGGTGACTGGCAAATTCCCAAATGGTATATGCCAGTGGGTGGGCAGGAGTGTGGTTTAACCCTGTATAGTGCTACATCAAGCAAGAAGCTGTAAACCTGCCTTTGGTACCAGGCAACTGGTCCTCCTCCTCCTGCTTCAACTGCCCCAGCTCTCTGAGCAGTCCATGTGCACTGAGAGTGCACTCCAAGGAGAGTGTTCCTACAGCCTCTTCTCATGCACATGTTTTGCATTATCTATATATTATATGCTTTATAGCAATTATTCCACTCTTTCATTATGCTGGATAAATGAGAGTTTGCTGTAATTAAAAGGTGTTAGCTAACCTGCCTAAAAAGAATTGGCCTTACCTGGACAGAGCTTTTGGACCCAAACAATATGTTAAAACACGTTCAAACCATATATTCCTGTCAGCATTTATAACCAAGAGTGCACATTGTTATTTGTTTCCATAAACTAGTAAGGATAGACTGAAAGATTACGTGCTGCTGGGTTTCAGGACAGAGGAACTCTGGACGCTAGGTCAATCAATACAAGCCTGCTGAATTGTTCCCAGTGTTGGGACAATTCATCCTTGTCACAATAACTCAAATTGCCTCCTTGTCGTCTCTGGTGGCTTTTAGATCTGAACAATAGCAACTGGGGATTCATTCTCCCTACCTGTGTTTAAGGCCTTAACTAAGATAATTAGGCACTATGTGAGCTAGTAACTAACAGAGAAATCTTGGGGTACATGAATCGCCCGTTGTAGGTACTGTTCTCCTCCAAAGGATTACAGGAAACCCAATTAAAGCTCCAAGTTGAACTCCCATACACAGAACTATTTAGCTTTTTGTGTTCACCTTTGTGAACACCTCTTTGTGTTCCAGCTTAGGGGCTGCGCCTTCACAGGTAACTCACTAGTTGGGTTTTCTAAAGTGTTTTGACTCCAGTTCTGCTCTCCCTCCTGATATGTCAGGATCCAAAATAATTTGGGTCAACTTTAGGTTTCTCAGTGCAGCAATGCCATTAACAGCACTGATAGTATGAGATGCAAGTAAAGAGAGTTTGTGAAGAGAGACAAACAGAGGTGTCTTCTATTAGACCAATTTTTTACATGGATTAATTTGGATTTCAGTTTTCTGACCTGCGTTTTTCATGTCTTAACTATCAACCATTGACATTTGCCTCCTCATGCTAGATCTTTTCTAACTATATTGCAAGAGCTAAATTAATATTGCTGCAATATTTGAATTGCCATTTACATTTCCTTTTAAAGATCCCACTGTCTGGCTGGCAGCATTTTCAAGTACGTGAAAACCTTTTAAATCTGGTGTCTAGCTTCAAGTCTTTTGCCCATCTATAAAACACTGGTAGTAAAATATGCAGTGTATTGCGGAGCACTCTTAATTGTTATTAAACTTGGCTGTGGTTTTGGCAAATCCTGGTGATAATATTTAGCAAACTCCTGACATGTTCAGTCTTTCAGGAAGGAAGGAATAGGTAATTTTGAGAGGGAGAAATGTGCCACTTGCATTTCTGTAAGAAAGAGGGCTGTGTGCACATGTCGTACCTGTGAATTTTATGGTACCTTGCTGCAGTCAGGAACGAGTCCATATTTTGCATATGGAACTGCTGCAAGTGGCTGCAAATCTGGGAAAAAAGGTACAAAAATCAGCTTTTGATTCTTGTTTTTAGACAGGTTGGTTGCCCTTCAATGACTTGTGTCTAGACAGCAATATTTGGGCAGCATGGAATATGCCTCTTCTTAACTTAAAAGAAGAGAGATACTTTCCAGAGTGCAGTTTTAACCAGTTTTTTTCTGTTCTTGTTTTCATTTTCAGTCCTACCTCCTGTACTCGTTCCAAGACACAGCGAGTTTAACCCTCACCTCAGCCTCCTCGCCAAGTTTCGAAACACTTCTCTGCACAGTGAGCCGCTGATGCCGCACAATGCCACATATCCTGATTCTTTCCAGCATCCTCCATGCACTCCCTTTCCTTCATCACCCAGTCACATGTTCTCCCAGTCGCCTAACAGCATCAGCTATCCCAACTCACCAGGAAGCTCTTCTGGACCAGGAAGTCCCTATCAGCTCACAGGTAAGAATGAGCTTTCAGACATCCCAACTGAGGCAGTCGAGGTTCTTGCCAGGGCCTGGGGTCAGCTGCCAATTCTGTGTGCTCCCCCCAGTCTGTACCTACAGATTGAACTGTTGGACAGGATGGATTTGGAATGTGATTTCTCGTGACTGTCTCTTAGTATTGTCTCCCAGTCCTTCTGATGGATGCTCAAAGCACTAACAGTTGTAGTCATCCCACTCCTAAAAGTGCCTGGATGAGATTTCATGATTACTGTAAGGGGAAAGTTGAGGAGAGGAGCAGGTGTGCCAGGCCATTTTCTGCCTAAAGCTGCCCATCCAAGTTTCTGGTGCAATCCATGGAAAACAGCACTTGCAACACTTAAGTTAGGCACCTCTAATAGAGATAGTCAGGGTAGGTACCTTTAGAAACTCCAGCAAGAGAGACAGGATAAATGGGGAAATTGGTATGCAGAAATGTTTTTTAATGTATGGTGATCCCACTGACTGTATAAACTTCAGGAAATTAAGGTGTTTAACAATCTGGCCCAACACTTGGTGAAGCCACCAGGCAAATTCCTATGACTTTGAATGTGTTTCATCAGCTCCACAGTTCTGACGTCGGCAGGTCACTCAGACTGTTTGCCTTGTGAACTGCTTACTTCGTACTGTTCTAATTACCTGAGAATTTAACTATGTTTTTGCTGTTAAATAGACCAAGAAGGTGTCATGCAGTACAGCTGAGAGGCTAGCTTTAATATCAAAACATAGTTCAGATTCACTTCTGCACTTCGTTGTAACTCTCAAATAGTTTCAGTGATCTCAAGTTTTTCACAAAGATAAATTCAGGTCAGAATCTTGTAGCTTAATGTTTTAATGTCTCAACTACAAGGCATTTAAATTCATGCCCTATGATATGCCTTTCCCCTCACTACAAGAAGGATGCTGAGGTACTGGAGCGTGTCCAGAGAAGGGCAACGAAGCTGGTGAGGGGTCTGGAGCACAAGTCTTATGAGGAGCGGCTGAGGGATCTGGGGTTGTTCAGTCTGGAGAAGAGAAGGCTGAGGGGAGACCTTATTGCTCTCTACAGCTACCTGAAAGGGGGTTGTGGCAAGGTGGGTGTCGGTCTCTTCTCCCAAGTAACTAGCGATGGAACGAGAGGAAATGACCTCAAATTGCGCCAGAGGAGGTTTAGACTAGATATTAGGAAAAATTTCTTTACTGAGAGAGTGGTCAAGCATTGGAACAGGCTGCGCAGGGGGGTGGGGGAGTCAGCATCTCTGGAAGTGTTCAAAAAACATGTGGATGTGACACTTCAGGACATGGTTTAGTGGGCATGGTTGTGTTAAGTTGATGGTTGGACTTGGTGAACTTAAGGTGTTTTCCAACCTTAATGATTCTGTGGTTCTGTGACTTTGATTTTAAGTGCAAGAAAGGTGTTTATTTTTACAAGGTATTTGTAGTATCTGAATTTCCTTTTAAGCCGGACACTTTCAATACAGTGTGATGTTTTTCATTCCCTCTCCATTCATTGAATGGACCTTCATTCATTTCTTCTCTAGATCTATACTTCAGATTAAATCATATTTAAAAACATTGAAACATTTCAGCAAGTAGTTGGACTTGTTTGTCTTCTCCCATCTTTTTCTTTCACCTCTGTGTAACCAAGCTGGATTCAGTAGAGCTGGTCCTGACTGACAGGTAAATCAGGCCCATTCCAACTATGTAATGACTGTGACTCGTGCATTTATCTGAACTTGGGACCTTACAAAGCTACTTAAAAATGGAAGTGGCTCAACCTGAGCTTCAATATATCACAGCAAACAGCATACCGATAAGCATAATTTGCCTGTGTAACAATCAGGAATGGAAGACTATCTAAAGCAAACTGGAGTTACATCAAGAACCTTGAGTGGGATTGGTGTGACCAAATACAGATGTCAACAATGCAAATTTCTACATCTCATGCCATTGTCTATATTCCCTCTGTAATCAGTGGAGAAAAACAGGCACTCCTAGAACAAGATACGTTGCATCTTAAGGTATATGTCTAAGGTAGCTAAGATGCACCGTGTCTGCAGGTGCCTGGTTTTCTTTAGTGGGTGTAAGGAGGGCTTATGGTGACTAGCTTAGGTGTAGACATCAAAAATACCTGTGTAACCACATTATATTCCATTCTGTGACTTGTATTCTCCCACTCTTTCTTGATTTTGTTTTACTATTCTAGCTTGTTGTATTTTCTGTGGGACGGTTATGTCATCTATACGTTAAAAATACCATATAGTGTATGGAAATCCTAAATCCTGAACAATGCTTAAATAGAATAACATTCCTGCGCAGTACTTCCTTGGAAGATTCAATGGTCATTTTATGAGACAATCCATATTTATCCGCTGTGGGTGAAGTTCCCCTGTTTTGAGGGCCAGCCAACACAAGACAGAATTTCAACCTGGAACCAAGTTAAACCGTGATCTTCTTAAAGAGACCCTTAGTCCTGCAAGCTTGTATATGGCTATAATTTACACATAAGCCCACTGAGTTTCTGTTCAAATGAATAAAACTATATGCTTTTAGTGCTTATGCAGTGAATTTTGACATTTTGTAACATGAAAATGAAATCTCTCTTTCTTCAGCTTTCTAAAGCCTCCTGTCGGTCTTGAGAATCCCCACTATAGAGTCACCTTCTGTTTTCTAGCTTACTGTGCCATGAATGAAACAAATCAGGAGCTGGGAAGGTTGTGAGTTGATACTTTTTGTCCATATTTTTTCATCATATCCATTGCTTTTTGATAGGATACTGAAGAAACGAGAAGATGGCCATCCTTCCCCATCTATGTACTAGGACAGAGGTAAAAAGGACAAATCTGGAAGGGAGTTTTGCCAAGTCTGATTTTAAAGTGTAAAGGCTTTCCATAGGCTTTTTTACAGCCTGCGAAGAAAGAGAGCTTTCTCCCAGAGGATCAATTACAGTTAGCTTCCCTTCTTAAATCATCCTCTTCAAGTTTTAAATTTGCGAAAGAAGTCTGGAACTGAAGGATCAAACTGTGTTACTTTCTTAGGATAAAAACTGATGTTAACAGAGAGCTTGACTAGACACCAGTCTAGGCCTGAGGCACTGTTGTGACTGTCCCTCTATCTTTCACGTGCAGCTTGTCCAACATGACAGCCCTTCCTTCCCGTCCTCTCTGAACAGGTAATGGTCTTAATCTGGAGACTGAAGGGAGGTCAGGTTCAGATTTGTGCTCTGTTTCCAGCCCTTCCCTAGCTAAACAATGCTGAAGAAGTGTTACGTATTCACCAGGAAAAGCCAGGGAGAATTTACCAATGTATTGATTTAGGTGTCCTCTTTCTTTTCTTTGTTTCTTTCTAACAGTGGAAACTCCACCCCCGCCTTACCATGCAAGAGAACCTCCAGGAACCCACAATGGGCGGTCAATGGATGCAATAGCTGAAAGTCAACTAGTGCTGTCTTTGCCCAATGGAGGTAAATCTGCCGATGGAGAAGCTGAAAGTAAATAACCATTTGTACTATTCTTCAAAGAAAAACTGTTAAGCAAAAAAATAGTTATTTGAACAAGAAGGTTCAGTGATATGTAATAATAGGTTTCAGACAGTTTTGCAGTAAGGCTATGTGCTAGACCCATCCATTAGCTAGCAGAATAGGTTGATTTAAGAAGTCAGTGAAATATGTGTGAAGTTAGAGTTTAGACCTTATTTGCATCCGTGGACTATTACAGTTAGAAAGCTGTTAATGAAAGCAAACACTGTTATGTACGTTGTAAAGACAAAGATATCAAATCAAGGAGGACGAAGCAATATAACACACAAGAGCACTATCAATACCAGAACTGATTTCTTTATCACCTTCAGTTCTAGGTTTCAAGTACTTTAAAGCCTTGTGATTGGGACCTTTCTTACTGCCATCTTTGTATTAATGTTACATTACTGGCTGGCTAGAAAAGAAAAGGACATGTTCTAGTGAAGCACAAAGAGATTTTTACAGAAGGCCAAACTTTGTCCTCATATAAGAATGCTTTAGTGGGAGAGGCATGGGTGGTGAGAGTAGAAGAGTTTGGGACCCTTCTCATTCCCCTCAAAGCAACTTCATGACCTCTCCAGGATGCTCTCCGCTACCTTCAGTCTAGTCATGGCAGGTGATGCCTCCACCATTCAAAGCCCATTGCTGCTGGGTTTTCTATTGGCTTCCTGCTACTGCAAAGGAAAAATCAGCATTGTTTTTTTAGTCCAGCATATTGTAGTCCTAAACAAACGTCCTTTGTGGCATGAGGACTGAACACTGTGCACGCACATGCAGATTAAAAAAATAATGCCAGCCTTCTGAAACAGTGAGGAACATGTACGTATCACAAAACTGGAGCAGAAGGAAGATGATGGTGATAGTGCTAATTACAGATGGGTGCACAGAACGGCCAGATAATAACTAGTTATCAGACACCAAAACTTTTAAATAAATTGTCAAGATACTTTAATCTCTTTACCATAGTTTACCATCCCTGATCACTGCCCTAGTGAATATTAGTTGGAAGTTTATTAGAGGTTATGCTCTGGCGGCAGAGCTCTGGTGGCTCACATGCCTCTGGTGGGCAGACAGGATAAGGTTTCCCACTAATTCCTGTAGGACGAATGAGGCTCAGAGATTCTGTTACATTTTTGAGTCTTTCTCTGCCTCTGAGTTATAAAGCCTGGGCAGGGGTAGATCCAAAAGAAACGACGTTGCTAATGTTTCTGCTTATGGTCCCGCATGGAAGCGGAAAGCCCTAAAGCATGCAAAAAATTGGAGGGAGTGATGGATTACTTCTGAACTTCAGAGTTTGACTGAAGGCTTGGCTCAGTTTTGACTTGCTTTGAGCCCATCTGTCATCCCTAGCTCCTGCTGGTGTGCAGAGCAGATGTATCCCTTACTATTTTCAGTGTAGAGATTGGGCCCCAGTTCAGCAAGGAATGTCAGCATGTGCTTAATTTAATGCAGTGGAGTTATCACTTTAAGAACAAGTGGGCCTCCTCAGAGGCTTAGACTTAAGCTGGTGTACCAGCCCTTTGCATGTTTGAGACTTCAGTCATAAAATTAAGAAGAAACAGAAGCTGCTCTTGAGATAAAGCGTGACATAAGTGACTGTTTAGATGAAGAGCCAGGGGGCTGGGAATGGGAGAGAAGGAGGGAGAGGAAAGAAAACAGAGAATGATTGTTTAAAAAACATTATTGAGACCTGAGCAGCTGATTAATTTTATTTCCTACAGACTTTCGGCCTGTTTGCTATGAGGAACCCCAACACTGGTGCTCAGTTGCCTACTATGAACTCAACAACCGGGTAGGGGAGACTTTCCAGGCTTCCTCTCGAAGTATCCTTATAGATGGATTTACAGATCCCTCAAATAATAGAAATAGGTTCTGCCTGGGACTGCTGTCAAATGTAAACCGCAACTCTACGATAGAAAACACCAGGAGACACATAGGAAAAGGTAAGAGAAAATCCCTTCTTCTCAGTAATAATCAGAGCCTGAAAGAACCATGCATTGCATTAAAAAATCTAGCTGATTTGTCAGATGCACTTGTCTTAAAACCAAAGCTCTGAGATTACTTCTGAAACAGAAGAAAAGCAGCTGATTCTTTCCTGACTGGATAACAAACAGCAGAGTAGCTCCTTACAAAAGCTATGTACTTGGCCAACGAAGAGAAAAATGTTGTTTATAGTTGTGTGTTCTAATTTAGCAGTATGTATTTTCATTTTATTTATTAGAGCTTCTGGCAACTGGGAATATTGCCATTGAAATGCCACTAAAAGGATAATTGCTGGTGCCTTAGGGCTGGTTCTCCTACCACCAAATAACAAAGGGAGATGGATAAAACGCTTAGTAGTTGAGTTATTTAGCTGAAGAACTCTACCACAGTTGCCTTTGTAGCTTTCGCCCCCCACCAGTCTGATTCCCTGCCTTGTCAACTTCTCACCAGTAAAACTAATCTTGGATTCTCCCTACAGCAGTTCTCCTTGTATACTTCACTTCTGGTGTACGTATGCCCTGTGCAGGCAGGATCATATGCTGCTGGTGACAAGTACGAGGATACCACACCTGGACATGCGTGGCTGCACGCACTCCATCCCAGCTCACTAGGGCTGTGTAGGGCCCGATATTCTCCCAGAACTTACTGTTGTTTGTGGTGGTGAGTCAGAAGCCCTGTACTGGCCACTTCTCTGTGCAGGTGAAGCTTTGCCTGTTCTGGTATATCCAGTCTAGACTCATTATCTTGCCAACCCAGCCTCTCACCAGTAGCTGCCTGGGAATGGATTTCCCACTGGGCTAATTAACTCTAATTGTTCCACTCCTATTATCTTGTCAACCTCACCTCATTTCCCAGGCCTAGAGCAGTATTTTAATTGGCTCTTGATAGTCTAGTGTTGAATGACTGAATACGAGGAAGCTCTGAGACAAATGTGACATGGTTCTTACAAACAACAGTGAACCTGAAGGCTAGCCCAGAAGACGTTGTACTTAACTCTTGCACTTTCTCCGAAAGGGAAGACATTTGTCTTGCAGATACACTGTGTGAAGCCAGTGTGATGCTGCAAGTGTCTGTCAGAGTAGTTTGTTATGAGGGATGGATATGAGTTGTACATCTAGGTCTAACTTGCTCAGAAAATAAAGCAAGCTGCTCTATCAGCATAAGCTCTCAGAGGGGTGTAGATCAAAGCTGAGCCCGGCCCTAAAAGAAGGATGACAAAAGATCCCAGTCAAAGCCGTCATTTGAAGATGTTACATCCTGTGACTTTCTGCCCAAAAAGAGGAAGAGACAGAACAGAAAGAAAATGAGGTAAATGCTAATGGTCCAATCATCCTTCAAATCTGAAGATCTGTCTTCATTGATTAAAAGTCCTTTAAAGTCTTACTCTAGGAATCTGCCCAAGGGAAGGGAGCAGGCTGCCCAGAGAGGAGCTTAGTATATCAGAGATCCTTAATTTTACTGCTCTTCCCTGTTTATGCAAATCTTAAAAAAACATCTTCAAATGGAGTAGAAGTGGCACCAGTACAGGCCTGCAGAAGAGCACAGGGCAGCTCCAAAAGTGTGTAGTTCAAAGGCATGCTGGACAGATGAAAGCTACTGAAATGGATACAATCGTCACATGTTAACAGGGGGACAAAAAAGAGTGAGTAAACAAGATTAGCTCAGTAGGATAAGGATATGTGATTGAATTGTCATCTAGTGTATCAGCGTGAAACTGTTTCCTGGAAATACCACATCAAAGCTAAAAACAATCCAGAACACAATGCAACATCTACTAGCAATTGGACCTGTTTCAGGAGTCAGACTCCAAGGACAAAAAAGGGACTTCTGATCAGAGTGTCAAAAAAATGTGGATGCTTGGAAACTGCTGAATTTCCAGTTTCTGCAGAGAGCAATGAAATCCCACTAAAACATATGGATGCTTGATTTAGTCTTCTACAAATATCTATTCAGTTGCCTGGCTTCCTTGAGGGTGCTTGTCTCTGGTGAACAAATACACACTGACATTTCATAACTGCTATATTTATTGCTTTTAAAAAGTCCACAAGGAAAAAGCAAATTGTAGTCTTTGCTTTCAGAAGTGACTCTGGTGTTTTGTTATTATAGTACACAGTTTGGGCAATGCCTTTGAAAGCATTCATTTTTTTTCAGAAGTTTGGTTACTCAATATATTCTGAAAATCCAGCCTTTAACATTTTTCACTGTAGCATCCAGAAGTGTGGTCACACTAAATCAGTAGCCACACCTGAAGATTCGAAATGTAGTGAACATTTTTGTCCTTACTCTTCTCTCCCTACCCTGTGTCCTCACTCTGTCTATTTCAGAAAGTCATATGGACTCCATCAAGGTCACCTAGGACCTTCGTGTTTTCAGTCCTTCCTTTTTATCCATCTTCCACAGAAGGGAAAAGAGACACAGGTCAAGTAATAGCAGTCACAACATGCAATACCCCATAATGTCTGGTGCAGTTGGACCGGAGCTGACGGCTGGTCTAATGGAGCTGTCATCTCACCCGTGTTCCCAGTGCAATACTAGCATGTGCTCTGAGCCACACCCCCCACCACTCACATCTAATTTGAGATCTCGTGGGTGCATAGAAGTAAAAGTCAAGTGATGGCTTGAAGACAGACTTTAAGGTTCCCATCTGAGTCACCCTGGAAGCCTATGGGAGAGCGTATTTTTCCCAGATTCCTTTCCCACTTAACCTGCTTTTCCCCAAGCCTTTCCCACTTCTGTTCAGAGGCTGTTTTTGTCGTAAGGATGTGCTGCTGCCCCTTGCTGTCATGACCACAGAATGATGAACAGGCTGGGAATATGTAACCAGTAGTCTTTTTTGTATGAAAGACAACAGGAATAAAAGTAATTACAACTGAATTATTAAAGCATAGTTATCACTAGCTTTGCAGGCAGTCCACTGAGACTCTGTGAACTTGTGCATTTGTATGTGTCCTGGTTTCGGCACGTTTGAATGCCATACCTGGGAATAGAGAGGAGGATTTTATTTTTATTTAGTGGTGGTTTTTATGAGAACAAAGAATGAGTTTTTCCACCTCTCTTGGCCATGGGAGGGGTTCATCTCACCTAAATCTAGCCATGGGAAGGGTGAATGTCTAGGCATCTTCACAGGATGACTTGGCCCCCTTTAGGGTGTGGTTTCATGCTCACGTTTAAGCAGTCTGGGTCCCCATTGCCACACTTGCACTGATGAAGATTCACCACAAATAAATCTCCTTTTGTTTTGTTTTGTTTTGTTTCTTTTTAAGTTTATTAGCTTGTTCAGTTCCCCAATCTGGATGTCTGCCCAATCCCCAGCCATTGCTGCCAGTGTGAAAGCAGGTGTGGGAAGAAGCAGCAGGGGCAGGGAACAAGAGAGCCTTTTCAGCACCTGCACAGACTTCCATCAGTTTAAGCTGGCTGTGAGCCTACACTCGGTAGTGGATGGAGTGAATCATCTGGTCACAGTGGCTCTCATCGTCTATCAACTAGAGGAGGCATCTACACAATTAGCTTACACAAGATCCCTAGCTTAGAGGTTGCTGAATTGGGCTAAGATAAATTCTCCCACCAATTTAGGTATATTTTCATGCAAGCAGACATCCTGGGGGGACCATAGTCTTTGAATGGATAGAAATGCTTCCATCTTCATTTCCCTAAGGCACGGTAAAAATTTGAAAGTTAGTGTTGGCAAGTTGGTAAGGGCACTGAAAAGTCCGGAAGTCAGTCAGTCATTTTCTTCCTGAAGGTCACTTTGAACAGCATCTGATGAGTAAGTCACATCATGTAAATGCAAATACATTTTGTTCATACAGTTCTGGTGTGGTGAATAAAGCAAAATACAGAAAAGCTATTTTAAGTACACACCATGCTGTGTTTGAACATGAGATAGGATCCTGTAGTAAAAAAATAGCGTGCTATGAAGTGGGTCTTGGTCAGCGTGCATGTGCTCAACAGTGAAAATACACTTAGATGTGTAATGCGTAACAGATTTGTCAGTTCTTTTGACATTTTTGATCCATGCTTTGTATATGGTTGACATGTGTTTGATATTTATGTGTGTGTATATGTATGTGTATGTGTGCATTGTCATGAAGTACTCTGCTGTTGGGTTAAAGAATTAAACCAGCCTTCACTGAGAAACAAAGAAAAACATCACATGCCAAGACTTTTTTCTGCTAGACCAGTACCTCAGAATAGTGTTCCTCTTAATGTTGGTGGGTCCATTGTACAGATACATGGATACGCACACAGTTTACTGTCTTTTAAAAGGCAATGTATAGGCATTGAGTGCCTGGAATGAATCTGTGCTTGTATGCCCACACCAGTAAAATAGTTAAAGAATTACTGGTATAAATGTGTTGTGAACAATGGAGAAATAATACATGGGTTTTTTTTCTTTTTCAAGGTGTTCATCTTTACTATGTCGGTGGGGAAGTTTATGCTGAATGTGTCAGTGATAGCAGTATTTTTGTGCAAAGTCGCAACTGTAACTACCAGCATGGTTTCCACCCAGCCACTGTCTGCAAGATCCCTAGTGGCTGCAGCCTCAAGATCTTCAACAACCAGCTCTTCGCCCAGCTGCTTGCCCAGTCAGTCAATCATGGTTTTGAAGTGGTGTATGAGCTGACCAAGATGTGTACTATTCGAATGAGCTTTGTTAAAGTAAGGATTCTTTGTTTTCTCTTACATTTCTGAAAAGGCAAATCCCATCACTTGCTAGCTTTGGTGCAAAACTAGACCCCATCAAATCCTTCCCAAGTGGGGATTTAGACATCCAACCTGCAAACAGCAATTCAGACTGCCTGTTTTCCAGTGTTCTCTTAAACTTCTAGGTGCTTAAAATCAGTAGCTTTTGTGGTCAACCTGGAAATTTCTTAGCTTCCAAAGATTAGGTATTCCATAAGCTTTTTGTGGAAAATAAGCAGAGATTGCATGGCGATGTTCCACCATTGATTTCATAAAGAGCTCAACTTAGAGGGGCGTAGCAACATGTAAATGTTGCACATACCTTAGACAGTTGTGATCCCTCCTATTGTTACTGGTTTGCAATAGAGCTTGGTAGAGCCATAGATGTGAAAAGAATGTCCTTATGTCTCTAGACTAATTTACAGTCTCACCATTACTACTGGTATATAATGGTCTCAGCCAAGAAATGCTGGGTCCTCCTTCAGCCCCCACTGAGCTTGCTAGGAATTGTTGATTGCCACCTGTCTGATCCCTGACAAGAGATTGTCTTAATTTCTGATGATGTTCACTCTGGCCAGCCACATGACCAGAAGGGTTTCTTGCAAGCAGAATACAATACCCCGAAGAACATCTGACCTTCCCCCTGTTATTTGGAAGAGACAGGAAGCCACCAAAGCCATTACTGTTAACATGTCTTTCATATCTGAACTTTGCAGTCTGACTGCTCTGTGTGTGATGCAGTCTTTGTGGGAGTTTCTTAAATCTTCTGAATGGCCTTCTCACCAGAATGAGATCTCGACTCCCTTTAGCACTTAGGATTTACTTAGGTGCCTATTTTAGCATCTAAACCCCAGAGGATGGTGAGTACTTCAAGACTGTTAACAGATGTGCTAGACTGACTTCTTATAGTGCTGCTGGGGAGAGCTGGCAGCAATGTTCAGCCTGCGAACTAGAGAAGTTGCACCATTAGAAGCCAGTCGGTCCTGCTAGGTACCACACAAAGTGGCTTGAGTATGTCCCTGTGTCTTGCAGATTTGATTCTATACAAATGACTGAATCAAGCTGATTGAATTCACATCTAAGATACTACAAAACTGCTTGAGGCTCGAGCCCAGTTCCCCTATGTTCTGCAAAGCAGATGAGTCCCACGCAGTTTTCTGGTCTGACTCTTTCCAGCCGTCCTTGGGGACCCATCTCCTTAACTCTCTGAGAGCATTAAGAGTGCCCTGTAACTTCTCCCAAGAGTCCAAGCCAAAGTCTCCCTGCCCTTGACCACGCTGTTGCTTTGTTCTTGGGAAGGAACTGACATCTTGTTCACACGCAAGCATTAGGGGAAAAAAAGAAAACAAGAAACACAACAAACAGCATTTTCTTTAATGGAAGACATGAATGGGCATGTTGTTTGTAAAGGCAGTGTAGCCAGTTACGCAATATTTTCATTATCTCAGCAACTCAGGGGCAGTCTCTTTGATGTGTTATCTGCCTCCATGCCCAGCATGGCAGGAGAAATGGTAGTGTTAATGCACTAAGTAATGCTGCTGCCATATTATCACCTTGCTTTGTTGAAACAATATCAGCCACTATAGTGCCTCAGGCACCAGAAGACCAGTGTAAGGAGTTATTTTGAACGCTTTCCCATGACCTTTGGAAAATGGCTATGCAAATCTCATCTAGGTTCTTCCTTGCTGGCCTGTAAAAACTCTTTCCTGTATTCAGTCTTCTCAAATTATTTCTCTCCCAAGGTGTGAGCCTCAGTATGTTCAGTCTGGG